TCATTCAACTGATCATTACAAAATTATACCTCACTTTATTGCATCTAATCGTGCTCATTTGCATTTGGTAAATAATTGAAAGCAAAAATTTTCTGCTGAATGGTATGGAGCTCGATGAGTTTTAATGTCGTTATACAGGATGTCGACAAGAAACTATTAAATAAAAATATGTCTTTGCCAGATAGCCGTTTTAAATAACATCTAAATAGGATCAATTGCAACAATATGAATTAAACCATTATCAAAGTTTTCGGAGAAATTTGCGTTGCTCCGATATGAAAATTTTATCCATAATTATTGGGATATTAATTTGAATTTTATTCTTCTCCTAATTCATTTAAATTTTCCAGACATTGAACAACACTAGCTGCGCCTTCTCTGTAACTACACGTCTGATGACACACAATCCGTACATACCTCTCTTTATTAAAACCAAAATGTAGAAGAAAAATACATTATTGTCGAATTAAAATATCAAAATTCATCCACGAAGTAAAGTTATCAAAGTTATTCGGAAATTTGACGCGATGATGATAACTTTTAAGATTCCCCTAAAGTGTATAATTTTTTAAGCTGAATAAGATATTAGAGTTTTACGTAAGGTCTAATGAATTATTAGACATTACGTAAGGTCATTATGGTATTTATGGATTCTAACTAAAATCAATCATGTCTCGAAATGTTCATGGCATCAAGAATTATTCAGCATTTCAATATTTAAAATAATTGAATGTTACCTTTCAAAACATCAAAATCGAAACTGAATGAATGAATGAAAGCTTATCTAATTATCTAAATGTAAATATTCCAAGATTGGGTAGAAATAGATTTAGTCTGAATTCATCTTTACATTTCTTAAATCCGTTTTATGAAGACAAACGAATAAATATATGAAGATCACGTATAAAAGCCATGAAAACTGTAAAAATAAATTTGAACTTTTCAATTGAATATGAAGCTAGCGTAGTGTATTACACTAGGTATTACTGTTTAACTAATCCCAATCATTTAATTAAAATGCTTCTTTTTTAATTGGTTTCTTTGAATAATTTCAACTCAGACTTAATTGAGGTGCTCGAAAAATTTCAAGTGCGTCTCAACGATTGAGAAAAATTCATCCACATATGTAAATTTTTATAATTTGAGATCTACGTTACCTTGACTACCCATCACTAATTTCCATCATTTCTCTAGTAAGTATAAATTTTTTTACCTTTTAAATGCGTAATTATTTTTAAGTAAAATTACTGCCATTAATACCTAATGACTTGATTAAATGGCATTATATTTCTGCATTAATGTTTACGTTTAAAAAAAACTGTCCCTATCCCTGCTTACATTTCTTTTTATATTCAGCGGAAAATTTGGAATGCTTTTTTTGCTGATTAAGTTATATACCTAATAATAATGGTTGGACAAAGATGTACGTACTGAAATTGGTAGGGGTATGAAACGAATTTTTCATGTAAAAGTTATTAAATTAGAGATTGAAATTCATAACTAAATTATAACCTTATTGCACACAGTTTTTAGAGGAGTGGTGTAATAACGTGTGATTAAGAATCGTAAATGCATGTGTTGCATTGTCACGCAGAAAAACCTTTATCCTAAATAAATTCCATTAATATCACAGTTAAAGAAATTTTTTCGATATAATTTAGTTTAATTTTTCTATGGGAAACAATGACTCAAAAACGGACTTTAAATCTCTCAAAAATATATGCATCAAATTTAGTTATCCAACTAAAAATGTCTTCAAACAAATCCAATGCACATGCGAGAACCTATAATATATATATATATATTTAAACCCGTTTTCATATATATTTCCAATTTCAGGATTTCAATAAAGTTAATTGCTTAATAACAGCATTTATTACAAACGATTTAAGAGTAATAAAAAAGTGAATATTGCATTGTTATAAAATATAATTCCTTCATTTTTCTAGACACACCCAATAACCCCGCCGTGGTCCGCATCTCGGTTGATATTAAATAGATTTACTTTAATCCTTGTACATAGAAATTAGCTTTAAATGCACTAGGAAAAACTACTTTTTGTCTCTGCCAGTCTACCAATAAAAACCAAATAATCCCAAAAATTTTTCAATCTTAAACTTATTGCCATAAGATTTTAGGCTGTGTGAGTCTAACAATACAAAATAATCTATAAAATTTCTAAGTATTAAACATATTGTCATAAGAAAACCATTATAAACAGATAAGTAAGCCGTTCAAGGTTTTTGGCCACTACCAAAATACCATGCTTACGTGGACGCTTCAGTCGGAAATCCAGCCTCCTACAGAGCAATAATTTTTAAACAAGTTTCCCCTGCTGTTTAATAATAATATAAGTGGACGAAAAAAACAAGTGTTCGTGATGCCACGCCTCCTTTGTCAACATTGTTATCGCGCACAGCAGCTGCTTTAAAATAAACGCGTTTCATTAAGCATTTTTTGCTGTAAAATATTTGACGCTTTTTCGTTCTAAGTTTGATCTCGTCGTCCTGAAGTAAATTAACTTTGTAATTAACACTGACGTGAAAAATATGTTATATTCTTTTTTATCTTTTAACGAAGCGATAAGAAGTAAATGACGACTATAGATTCACAATTAAAATGTAGAGAGAATATGTTTTTGGGTAATAATTATATTGTATTTCAAACATTGAAGCTCTAAAAATCTTTGTTTTAGTTAAATTTGTTCAGGGTGTCGGTAGTTACTTGAGAGAGCTCATTTAATTGAGCCACCCGTAAAGGTAAACTGATCAATTAAGAGAACCTTCGTCCACTTAGAAAAGATTCATACATCCGTGTCCCGCATGTTTATTAACCTGAATACGACACATTTATTACCATGAATAAAATGTATATAAGGATCACTTCATTAGCGGCTTGCCATGCAATGTAAAAATTTAACATTTCAAGCTAGAGGTTGAAATGAAGTAGGAATGGATTCTGAATATCAAGTAGTATTATGAATAAAGTAGTATTTTGAATATATTAATATTCTGAATTTAGTAGTATTTTGTATATCGAGTAGTATTCTGAATATAGAAATACTCTGAATATCCAGTAGTATTCTAAATGTAGTAGAATTCTGAATATATTAATATTCTGAATATCCAGTAGTATTCTGAATATATATCTAGATTTTTAGATGCAAGTGCTTGTATACTGTTCGCGGTTCACAAGCTGTTATTGCGATATTATTCGTGATCTCTTGATTACATTGTACGACACTATAACTTATCTCATGTTTAGACGCATGCATTATGTTGAGTGAAAATCGGAATTGTAGAAATAAGTGCTTTAAATCGATATTGGTTGCATTATGTATAGTTTTATGCTGAAATTGTTTTCCAATATAAGAGAATACGCATTAAAAGTAGATAATTTTTATTAGTATGTCAACTGATGAAAAGAATTGGCGCGCTTTACTCTTTAAAAACACAAGATATTAAAGTTCACTTCAGAATTTACCTAAACAAATTTGTACTATTCACCAATAACACTTTCAGAGAATAACCATCATGAACGGCCAGGGGGAATGATTCATTCGCGAATCAATTAGTAACACATTAAGGATGTGTTAAAATGTCTGCGTTTAAATGAATTGAAATAAATGAATTTTTAAATTCATGCATTTCATGCATGAATGGCGCTCATGGTACTGTAGTTTGCTGTTTTAATTCATAAATCCAATTTATTTCAAATAAATTTTGAAATTCGTATGAATTGAATGAAATGAATTTTTAAATAGATTCACAGGGTTCGTACAACACGTAGAAAAATTAAGACTCCTTCCAAATAGCGATGCACTCCTTGCCCTTTGTGGACCATCCTGAGCAAGATTTTACCGGCAAAAAGATTTTAACCGGCAAGATTTTACCGGCAAAAGATTAGCCGGCAAAAGATTAACCGGCAAAAGATTAGCCGGCAAAAGATTAACCGGCAAAACATTAACAGGCAAAAGATTAAAACCGGCAAAAGATTAACAGGCAAAAGATTAAAGCCGGCAAAAGATTAACCGGCAAAAAAAATTTTACCGGCAAAAGATTAACCGGCAAGATTTTACCGGCAAAAAGACGTATCAGTGCTACAGACACGAAGCTCGTCATTATTTGGACAGTATGACCCATACATTTGTCTGAGTGTAATTTTGATTTTTTTTTATCTTTTCAAGAGTAACAATAGCATTCATTTAAATTTAATAATTTTAATAATAATAATATAATAATAATAATAATAATTTTAATAATTTTAAATAATTTCACAATTTAGTTTACAGTTCGTATTTTGAATTAGAATTCTTGCTAATTTGCTCCCAATTATTTAATGATAAAAATGCTACTGCATCCATTATTCCGGGTAATCCTTCTTCGTGAAAAGCATGTCAAAATGGGAGAATTTATTCATTATATTAGATGTGCTAAACATATCTATTCATCTGAGGCCTGGTTTAAATAAGGAGACAATTCTATTTTACTCTATATCTTTTATATATAAATATGAATATATTTATATTATATATCCAATTAAACCAATTCATGTTCTTCACCTCAACATATTTGTTGTTCCAAGACCTGATAAAAATATTCCAAACATTTTCATTTTACTCAATGTACCGTATCAAAATGCCCTGTTAGCAAAAGAAGAAAACATTTCCAATTAATTAAATGCCTAGTTATGAAATTAATATACTCCATTCAATAGATTTGTTTTCTACGACCGTGCTTGAATAACAGGAAAGATTTTCATTTAATTTTTTATCTATTAAAAATAATGTTCCTGCGTTTACTTAATTGATCCCATTTCCAGCTCCTTGTTTAAATTACATGACACAGTTTCACTTACTTTAAAATTCATTAAAATTTCATGTACATTAATCAATATATTCATTCAACTTTAAATTCATTAAAAATCTCATCTACATTAACAAATTTAACTCTAAATTTTATTCAAATTCATCCATATTAACATATATATTTTTTCTCCAGGTCCGGACTTTCCGACTTTTTTGCTGCCGTTCCGCAAGCCTAAGCGCATCCGGACAGCGTTCAGTCCGTCGCAGCTGCTGAAGCTGGAGCAGGCGTTCGAGAAGAACCAGTACGTCGTGGGACAGGAACGCAAGCAACTCGCTCAGACTCTCAACCTCTCAGAAACTCAGGTAAGAATCAAATTTTTGGACCTTTTCGCAAAGATTGACTCTTATTATGTAACTTTTCGTAAAGTGTAAATCTTTTTTCGTAATTTGTCGTAAAGATTGAATCATTTTTCATAACTTTTCGTAAAGATTGAATCATATTTCTCAACTTTTAGCAATCTGTTCAATCTTGTTTCAATCTTTTTTTCGTAATAATTCGTAAATTTTGAATTTTTTACGTAAAGTTTAAATCATGTATCTAATATTTTCGTAAAGTTTAAATCATATATCGAAAATTTTCATAAAGTTTGTATCCTAATTCGAAACTTTTCGTAATATTTGAATGGTGTTTCGAAACTTTTCGTAGAATTTGAATCATGTTTCGAAACTTTTCGTAAAATTTGAATAATGGTTAGTAAATTTTCGTAAAGTTTGAACTTTGAATCATGTTTCGAAACTTTTCGTAGTCTGAATCATGTTTCGGAACTTTTCGTAAAGTTTGAATTACGTTTCAAAACTTTTCGTGAGGTTTCAATCATATTTCGACATTTTTCGTAAATTTTGAATCATATTTTGAAATTTTTCGGTAAGCTTGAATCATATTTCAAAATTTTTCATAAAGTTTGAATCATATTTCAAAACTTTTCGTAAAGATTGAATCAAATTTCGAAACTTTTTGTAAAGTTTGAATCAGATTTCGAAACTTTTCGTTAAGTTTGTGTCATATTTCAAATATTTTCGTAAAATTTGAATCATATTTCGAAACTTTTCGTGTGGTTTGAATAATGTTTCGTAACTTTTCGTTAAGTTTGAACCATTTTTCGAAACTTTTCGTAGAGATTGAATCATGTTTCAATACTTTTCGTGTGGTTTGAAACATGTTTCGGAACTTTTTGGAGAGATTGAATAACATTTTGAAACTTTTCGTACTTTATGAATCATATTTGAAACTTTTCGTAAAGTTTGTATCATATATCGAAACTTTTCGTAAAGTTTGAATTATATTTCGAAACCTTTCGTAAAGCTTCAATCATATTTCGAAACTTTTCGTAAAGTTTGCATCATATATCGGAACCATTCGTAAAGTTTCAATCATATTTCAAAACTTTTCGTAAATTTTGAATGATATTTCGAAACCTTTCGTAATGTTTCAGTCATATTTTGAAATTTTCCGTAAATTTTGAATGATATTTCGAAACCTTTCGTAAAGCTTCAATCATATTTCGAAGCCATTCGCAAAGTTTCAATCATATTTCGAAACTTTTCGTAAAGTTTGAATCATATATCGAAACCTTTCGTAAAGTTTCAATCATATTTCAAAACTTTTCGTAAATTTTGAATGATATTTCGAAACATTTCGTAAAGTTTCAGTCATATTTTGAAATTTGTCGTATAGATTCATTCAAATTTTAAATCAATATTTACGTGGTTTCGTTACTGAAACTAATGTCAGACTTATTTTTTCTTTATTTATCATTTTTTCTTAACTTAATATTGAACCATATTTTAAAGTATATAATCATATATGCACGGATGGTAGTTACTTATGCATATAATTATATATGCATGAATAGTAGTTAGTTATGTATGTAATTATGTATGCATTAACCATACCAAGTCTAAGCGGAAATGATACCAACTTATGCACTTTTTTGACGTCTGCATAGACACGACAATTAGCATAAACTATTTACATACTGCATAATGCGCACGCTGCATAATGCGCACGCTGCATAATGCGCACGCTGCATAATGCGCACGCTGCATAATGCGCGCGCTGCAGAATGCGCATGCTGCATAATGCGCACGCTGCATAATGCGCATGCTGCATAATGCGCACGCTGCATAATGCGCATGCTGCATAATGCGCATGCTGCATAATGCGCACGCTGCATAATGCGCACGCTGCATAATGCGCACGCTGCATAATGCGCACGCTGCATAATGCGCATGCTGCATAATGCGCACGCTGCATAATGCGTATGCTGCATAATGCGCACGCTGCATAATGCGCACGCTGCATAATGCGCATGCTGCATAATGCGCATGCTGCATAATGCGCACGCTGCATAATGCGCACGCTACATAATACACATACAACATAATGCACATACTGCATAATGCGCACGCTGCATAATGCGCATGCTGCATAATGCGCACGCTGCATGATGCGCACGCTGCATAATGCACACGCTGCATAATGCGCACGCTGCATAATACACATTAGGCATAATGGGCATAATATTTAATATAAAATCCCCAAAAGTCAATGAACTAATTAATCTCGCGGCCGCTTGATAATTTTAAACTATATTACAGATAAGAATGGAACAGAGGCTGTAGCAAAATCGATCGCATTAATCCACGATTAAATTTGACAGTAAACATCATTATGAAACTTGCTGATATTTATCCTGAACACGTTTTCTTGTTCCCAGATTCAACGTGTTTTTAATTAATGTATGTTATCATTAATGTAATATATTAAAATAAAAGTCGTGGGATTTGATTGCATATTATATCATAGCAGTCGGGAAGTTTGAACTCGTACAGTAATAATAATAATAATAATAATATTAATAATAATAATAATAATAATAATATTTTTATTTCACATTACTAGCTATCATTTTAATCTATTATTTAAGCTGTTATGTAATTTTAATTAATTATTATTACAATAAGAGCTATTATTGTAGGTATCACAATAAGAGCTATTATTGTATAGGTATCAAAATTAGAGCTATTATTGGAGGTATCACAATAAGAGCCATTATTGTAGGTATCAAAATAAGAGCTATTATTGTAGGTATCAAAATACTAGCTATCATTTTGATCTATTATTTAAGCTATTATTTAATTTTAATTAATTATTATTACAATTAGAGCTATTATTGTAGGTATCACAATAAGAACTAGCATTGTTGGTATCACAATAAGAGCTATCATTTTAATCTATAATTTAATCTATTATCTAAGTTTAATCAATTATTAAATATTATCACAATAAGAGTTATTATTGTAGGTATCACAATAAGAGCTATTATTGTAGGTATCACAATAATAGCTATCATTTTAATCTATTATTTAATTTTAATTAATTATTATCACAATAAGAGCTATTATTGTAGGTATCACAACAAGAGTTATTATTGTAGGTATCACAATAAGAACTATGCAAGCGCTTTGCATTTTACAAAATAAGCTTCCCAGATCCCCGCTTCATTGTTAAGGGTCAGTAAATGAACAATGGTTCATGGAGGCGCGCAGCAATTTAGAAGCAAATTAGTATTATTTTCACTCGACTCTAGTGGTCGTATAGCAATTTTATGTCTTCATTCACTTTCTAATAGAGCCAATATAAATCCTACCTAACGATCTGAGTAAATCCGCTTTAGTGGACTCGTATAACATACCCAACAGGTGTAATCTTCCCCTCTGAACCTTACATTAATTCGAAATAGTTCCCTGGCTTGGCATACGAAGCACCTGTATTTTGCAAGCTATCTTTAGAATTCAGTGTTGAGGTTAATAGGTGCAATAAAATTAATTATCTAGCCGTGATAGGCTAGCAACTGACAGCACTAAGCCTGTACTAAGCTCTAGTGTTTTAGTGCCTCAGATGACAACTTTGCACGCATATTCAACAACACGTTGTTCTTGACTTAAAAGCTAAGCAACTCAAGTTATCTATGAAACCCAGGCTGGAAAAAAGTCCATCATTAAAAGTCACACATACTAGCATTAGGGAGGAGCTACATCTTCGATCAAACTGCCATTAAATGGCCATTAAAGCTCCATTGGCATGGCGTAATGTGCGTATTATCGTGGCTCTACGACCTAATAAATAATAAGATAATCGACGCTCAATTGAGATATCAGAATCGATACCTTTTCTTGACTGCGTTCACGTTGGGCCGAATTCTGGGATGCGTTCACGTTGGGCTGAATTCTGGGATGCGTTCACGTTGGGCTGAATTCTGGGAATTCAATGCTTCTGTACAAAGGCATTTCAACAATTTCTCGAACGTGATTTTCTTCGATTCTGAAAATTCCACAACTTTTAGTTTATAAACAACCACTCATGCTGGTCTAGTAAATCTTCTGCTGGCTTGAAGGTCTGATAAATTCTGATATGACTTGTGCATTATTTTATAGCGGGATTATCTTGAACGCAAAGTCTATGGCAATGCAACAGATTGTAAGTGACTGTAAGTGGAAGACAAAATAAAAGATAATAAAAAACAAGACAATATAACAGATATTAAAATTGCATTTTTTTAATTAAAACTATATACTTTTATAATTTCCAACTTTGTTAGAAGTTAAAATATATTTGTCGATAACAATAGCGCATCAATGTAAATCTGCTGTAAATCTGTTGTTTAAATTTGCTTGATATTATTATTTAATAAATATTGTTTGCTTTACCTATACTACACTATTTATTATGTAGTTTAGCTATATAACAGTGAAAATCATTATTATATATAATTTTTTCAATAACTATATTCAAAATATTTTATATTATTTATATTTTTTATTAATTTAGAATGAAAATATTATTTGACAAAAAATATAACATATACGAGTATATTTATTAGTAACACTTAAATCAGAGGTCTTCCAGTTGGCATTTTTTGCGGTCGTCCTATTGGAATATTGATTTAAATTCCGATATTTTATTGCGTCGGTGAATCGGGAAGATTCAATAATTCAGTGGCAATCAGTGGTTCAGTGGTAGTCAGTAATTCAGTGGTAGTCGGTGGTTTGGTGGTAATCAGTGGTTCAGGGGTAATCAGAGGTACTCAGTGGTTCAGTGGTACTCAGTGGTTCAGTGGTAATCAGTGGTTCAGTGGTACTCAGTGGTTCAGTGGTAATCAGTATTTCAGTGGTACTGAATAGTTCAGTGGTACTCAGTGGTTCAGTGGTACTCAGTGGTTCAGTGGTACTCAGTGGTACTCAGTGGTTCAGTGGTACTGAATAGTTCAGTAGAATTCAGTATTTTAGTAGTTCAGTAGTATTCAGTATGTGAGTATTTTTCAGTAGTTCAATGGTATTTAATTTGTTTAATGTTATTCAGTCATTCAGCAGTATTCTTAATTCAGTAAATTTTCGTAACTGTATGTTATACACATTAGTAAGAACTAGCGTTTGTATGTGTTTGTTTATAAATGCAATACCTACAGTTAGAACTACACACTAATTCGTAAATCTAAAACTGCATCTTCAGATAGATTTTACTTTTCGCGTGGGTTTAATATATACTTTCTAAACGTGATTTGCGCACGCTGCATAATGCGCACGCATTATCGCCACCGGTTCGTTTGGAGATTGAAAGAAACGGTACAGTTTTTAATTGTGTGAAATATTTTAATGAATTACCTGATGATTTTAAAATCAATTGTTCTAAATTCAGTTTGAAGACTATTTTGTATTTTTTTTCTCCAAATTTTTGTCATTTTCTTGTTATGAAATTTTTTTGTATGCTCCTGTGTGAATAAAGAATAAAGAATAAAGAATACATATATTTACATACAGTACCTATATACAGTATAAAGAGGTAAGTATCATCAATTTCATTTACTAATACCATCTACCCTTTACTATCTATGCATATTTAGGACAAAATTCACCATATTTAGGACAAAATTATTTAGGACAAATTATATGAACCCAGTGTCATTGTTACATCGATTACAGTATCGGCAATATCAAACATCTATGAAAAAATCGTTATCGGCAATTGCTCAAAAGTATTCTTCAATGTTCTTGCAGTGAAAAAAATAATATTTATTACAATATATTAAGTGGCTGGTCATTCATCCTATTAATTTTTTCCATCCACACCTGCTGTGAACTCAATTGGCAAAGGGATACAATTGAGAATTAGTTAACCCAGTGAAAATTTACAGACGCGGCAGCTTCTGATTTGGGTTACCAGAAGCTGGGGCGACTCTAAATTTTGTTAAGGTTGCAAATCGTATCGGTATGCAGATGATATAGCGCCCATTATGGCTAATGATACATTGAATGCAGGATCGATTGTGATGAATGATATCGGAAATGAATAACACAATTCATGTACAAGGTGTACTTATCATCGACATGGGAAGATGTAACTCATCTATTGGAAATGTGTGAAAATGAAACCGTGAATTGTCTGGTCGTGAAGTGTTTTGTTGTGAAGTGTTTTGTCGTGAAGTGTTTTGTCGTGAAGTGTCTTGTCGTGAAGTGTCTTATCGTGAAGTGTCTTGTCGTGAAGTGTTTGTCCTGAAGTGTCTTGTCGTGAAGTGTCATATCATGAAGTGTCTTGTCGTGAAGTGTCTTGTCGTGAAGTGTCTTGTCGTGAAGTGTCTTGTCGTGAAATGTCTTGTCGTGAAGTGTCTTGTCGTGAAGTGTCTTGTCGTGAAGTGTTTGTCGTGAAGTGTCTTGTCGTGAAATGTTTGTCGTGAAGTGTCTTGCCTGTCTCTTATACACATCTAGATGTGTATAAGAGACAGGAAGTGTCTTGTCGTGAAGTGTCTTGTCTTGAAGTGTCTTTTCGTGAAGTGTCTTGTCGTGAAGTGTCTTGTCGTGAAGTGTCTTATCGTGAAGTGTCTTGTCGTGAAGTGTCTTATCGTGAAGTGTCTTGTCGTAAAGTGTCTTATCGTGAAGTGTCTTGTCGTGAAGTGTTTTGTCGTAAAAGATCTTATTGCACTTAATAATGCATAATAATGACGGACAATGTATCCTAAAATCTTTAAAAAAATGGAGGTGAATTGCGATTTTAAAGTTATCATAAAAATTGAAAAATATAAAATTTACACTCATGAATGTGGTTCAAAGTTGACTTAACTGAGATAATAATAGAAATTGACTTAATTTATTACTCAAGATTTACTAAGCTAAAGATGGCTATTTTCCTAATAGTTCCAGTTCACATACACATCATTTTCACATCATTTAAACATCATTTATCATTCATGATCCTCTCATCGCTCCATAAACCTTCCGAGAGGCATTCATATACAGGGTGCGCCACAGAAACTTACTTATTTGAAAGGTCAATAAAAACAAAAGTACTTCAGTTATTGTTTTAAATTTTTTTTATTCGAGAAAACAGTATCCCAAATTTTTTTCATACAGTTTTGAAAATTAAATCCCATAAATGACGGCCTCCATTGCGCATAAACTAATGAAGTCGCTTTTTTCATAATGGTTTCCACTCTATGCAGCATATCAATCGGTATTTTGGCAATGACGTCGCGATTGTTGTTCTTGAGGTGTGCTATGGTCCGTGGTCGATCGACATAAACCAGAAATTTCAAATATCCCCATAAAAAGAAATCGCATGGAGTCAAACCTGGAGAGCGTGGCGGCCATTAGAGATCGCCTCTGAGAGAGATGAGGCGGTCGGGGAAATGTTGTCGCAACAAATTCATCGAGTCTCGTGCTGTGTGTGTTGTGGCTCCATCTTGCTGAAACCACACGTTCCTAAAGTTCATTTCTTCGAGTCTTGGAAGAAAAAGTTCCTCGATCATGTTCCTGTAACGAGCTTGCCACTGAAAAAAACGACCGCGTCTTCAGGCAGGTTGTCAACCAGCATTTTTCATGCATTTTGAGGGGCAACAAAATCGCGTTCAGTTAATTCTTGCACTACAGCAAATTTATTTGAGAAACTTTGAGAAACAAACTTGGGAACTTTCCCCTTCAGATGCACCCCCTCTCGCCCCTCTACCCGACCAACTAACCGCACAGGAATTTTTTCAAATAAGTAAGTTTCTGTGGCGCACCCTGTACAATTCAAACTATATAATATTACTAATCTCTATTTCTACTGACAAAATATTTTTGAGAAGCAAAACTCTTTCTAAAAGTAGAATAATTCTTCGGCATACTTAAAAGAAAATAATTTTTATTTATAGAGAATAATTTTTATGTAAGCGATATTTTTGTATCTCATCACAGGACAAGTACGGCAAATGCAAAGAGTTTGTGCGCATTTTTTAACCATTCTAATTTCGTAGTTACCCTTCTATTTTTGACGTCCTTTTCCCGACAACTTCCTACAATTTTCCCATCAAGGCTCTCGATTGCCCGATCATCGCCCATTAGCTATACAAAACAGAACCTAATTTCGTAATTAGACTGACGCGAGAACAGCTATCCCCGAGAAAAACTCTCCCTGTCTAGTCCCTGACAAAAAAAAACTACACCAGCATTTGATCACAAAAAACTTGCATTTTCTGATCACTCGGACAGGTTTGTGCTTTGCGTTCCGGTAGCCAAGGCCGCAAAAACTGGCAACGGAAACGTTGACTTCACAGGAACTTTTGTCTTATCAATCACAATCGCTGTAACTGCAGCCTGCTTTGCATAGCTATTAACTTGCTATTAAAGTGTCCGTTCAATAGGACTGCTCCATGGTAGAAGCGCGAGGTTTTTATTGAGTGTGTGCAAATGTGTTTACTTCTACTCCTAGCCTTAATCTTTAAATGTATTATTTTTTCAATTTATTTTTGAAGAGTTTTCGTCTTTTTAAGGCAAAGGTACTTGAGTCTAATTATTAATTTCGTTAAGAATTTTTAAATAAAAAATGCCTATAAAATTTGCGTTATTCAATTTAAAATATTGTGCATTTGCAAGGATTTTTAGCGCATTTTCTCATTTATGAAATAAATGCACTATTGTGCTCGCCATGTCCGTCTGTCCGTCCGTCCGTCCGTATGTCTGTCCGTCCGTGACTTCACGTTTTCGTTGACGAGAAAATGCGCTCTCTGTCACTCACTGCAGTGAGTACTGAGTTATATTTATTGATTCATTGTTCGTTTCTGCAATGGTTTGAACTTTGTACGAGAATTCATTTCGTTGACCCAATACCACTGTTCACTGATTAGTTATTTATGATTAGGAATTAACAATTAGGAATTAACGATTCGTGATGATCACGTCACGGACATCGAGGTTAATGGTTTGTGGTCACATGAGATGACGGACAAATGGTTAGCAGTTGAAGACCATCGGCAAGCTAAACGTATATCAAATAAATATGCTTCAACGTATTATTTATAACGATATTTAATCCAGATTTATTTTCCTCTGCAGGTTAAAGTTTGGTTCCAGAACCGCCGGACGAAGCACAAGCGCGTGGTCCATGACGGCGAAGATGGTGAAGATGGTCATCAAGGTCCTCATGACGATGACGTAGACGATGAAGAAGATGTTGGTCATGACCGACCAGAAGCTGAAAGTACCAGCGGCAGCCGAAGACATCGCAACGACAGCAAAACATCAACCAGAAACAGACAAACGATCATCGGAGACGCCGACGATGGCGAAGACGATGAAGATGAAGACGATTCAATCGTTGATTCGTCAGTTGGGATTGACAGGCAAGACGACCGGGTGGTGTTTCAACATGATTCTTCAGTAGGTTCATCCATGATGGAAGAAACAACTGGCAGGGAAGGATTTGATCCATCCATGAGGAGTATGTCACCTTCCTCTACTATAACCTCCATACCCAACGAAAGTCTACCTTTAGGTCGACTACCCCGAGCTGAAAGTCGAAGAAGTCGAAGTCCAATGGAAGTTGAACACCCCAGGGGTGTGCCAGAAGTTAGGGGAAGAAACGATAAACCCGACGATTTAGGATTAGCCGTATCGAGCTTGATGAACCCTGTACAGAACCACCCATATCGAGCATCACCAATTCTAAAACATTCAGTTGGTGGGTTCAGTTCAAATACTCCAATAAATGATGTCACCACACCTGATATCAACTCTGCATCACAGACTCGTGAGTGCTACTCACCTGTTATTGGTGCTGAACACCTTATACTAAAGAACAGAAACTTGTCTGAACACAACAGAAACATGTCAGAACACAACAGAAACATGTCGGAACACAACAGAAACTTGTCGGAACACAGCAGAAACATGTCGGAACACGCAAATTCAGGCAAGGCATCCCTAGGTTTGACTATACAGAGAATGACGCATTGCAGTTCAGGGAACTGACGTTCACCTCGTCACCTTGTCACATTCACCTGTCGAATAACTTTACCTACGGTGTTTTTTCAGTAAAATATTCATCAGAATTTAAGATATACTATGCATTCGAGTATTCGTATTTTGGAATAAATTTTTTATACATGGGATGGCGGTGAATAATTCAACTGACCAATCAACCGTTTTCATTTTCGTTTTCAAATTTTAAATGGGAGAATAATTTTATTTCACAGAAAATGATATATGAACGCCATCATTGATTTTACCTTGAGCCAAGCTTGGGTTTGTTCTTCATGAACGTTTGAGTGAACGATTTACAAATTTACAGAAATGAAATTAAATTACAAAGAATTACAAAGAATTTACAGAAATGAAATGAAATAAATTAATTTAAAATTTGGTCAACCATACGGCTTGGTTTTTAAAGTTATATTGATTCTTTGGTAAACAAGTGGGTAAAATCATTTAGAACATAAGGAAACAATTTCCTTTTAAGACATTAATCCACAGTTAAATTTACCCGTTTAATCAGTTAAGCAGTTTGATTGAAAATTAGTTACGTTGTTAAAACTCTGCTAAGCAATAAAATTACGTATTTTGTAACTAATTTGTGTTCGTAAATCAGAATGCAATTGATCTGAAAAATACGAAATCCCCTAAAACTCACGCAGATTGCATACGTTCAATAACGACCCTATGCACTGAAAACCACGCTGAAAGTTCAATTGGTACTTATATTATCAGTCTGCTTATATCGCAAGTTTACAAGGAATTTAAAAGCAAAGAAAACGCCAAGAAAATTCACCATATCGATATTGAAAACGCTTCGGAGTCCAGCTCCATCATCAGTTCGACTAAACTAAAAATTCGACTCCGAAATGTTTTCAATATCGATATGGTGAATTTTCTTGGCGTTTTCTTTGCTTTCAAGTTCAATTGGATAACATTGATAACAGATAGCATAGATAACGTGACGCATAAAATGCATCTTGGATAACAGATAATTAATAATGGATAATATTGATATCGTAGCGCGCAACCGATGAAGTGATCCCTAGTCAAAAATATTTCATTAATTCAGTTTCCATGAAAAAATGTCCTAATGCTGTTTTAAATTCTCACGCTCAATTAAATCATTTCTTTTGTGTTATTTTTACAGGGTATATTATATTTCTGTTCATTAGAATATTCTTCATTAAAACCTGAAACTCGTTTCCCTAGGTGCAAAAGAGAAAAAGGTTGTGACAAGATTTGATGTTAAATGATAACACAAAGTTCTATTTTGAAAACAATTGATTGACACTTTTTGAAGTCTCACTTCTTGTATAAAAACATACGATGACCACAGCTGCGTTTAGGAAAATAACGCGCGTTCATACAGGAAGTTATAAAATAACTGGAAACTAAACTGATGTTCTTTTAAATTTCCCGCTCTGTCATCGTGAACGCAAAAGATACTCGTATTTAATACCCAGACACAGCTCATTTTTTAATGAAAACGAGTTTTGTGAACGAGATTAACGAAGTAATTGAGGGAAAATTTGTAATGAATTCTAATTCTTTATTGTATAAAGTAGATATCAATCTAGAACATTCATTACCCCTTACCCAATTGAAACATTCATTACCCCTTACAATAATGTAGTAAGGGGCGAAATTTGCAATAAATTCTAATTCTTTATTGTATAACGTTGATACCAATCTAGAACATTCATTTCGTTAAGTATAACTTTGGCCGACACCATCGCGAATTTGTTAGCTGCTGTTCGTTTTTTTTCGGTGAACGCACATATACGTAACATAAATCTTGAAGGTTCATTGCTACAAAGAAACATTCATTACAATTCGATTAAATTTTATCCGAGGTTTCATACTGAAAAATTTATCTTAGACTCATTAATAAAGTACGATTATATTTTATCCTGGGTTTCAGACTTAAAAAAATAATCTTAGACTCATTAACAGAACGCGATTGTATTTTATTTAATTTTTCTGTCTGAAAAATGTATCCGAGACTTATTAATAAAGTGCGATTATATTTTATCCAGGGTTTTAGAATGAAAAATTTATCCTAGACTCATTAATAAAGCGCTATCACATTTTATCCAAGGTTTCAGACTGAAAATTTTTTCCTAGACTCGTTAATAAAGCGCTATTATATTTTATCCAGGGTTTCAGAATGAAAAATTTATCCTAGACTCATTAATAAAGCGCTATCACATTTTATTCAAGGTTTCAGACTGAAAATTTTTTCCTAGACGCGTTAATAAAACGCTATTATATTTTATCCAGGGTTTCAGACTGAAATTTTTTTCCTAGACTCGTTAATAAAGCGCTATTATATTTTATCCAGGGTTTCAGACTGAAAAATTTATCCTAGACTCATTAATAAAACACTATTATATTTTATCCTGTGTTTCAGACTGAAAAATTTATATTAGACTCATTAATAAAGCACAACTGTATTTTATCCTATGTTTCAGGCTGAAAAATTTATTTTATACTCATTAATCTAACGCGAATGTCTCCTCCTGGAAATAGTTTACGGCAAACCGACAATGGCGACAGCTCGTAGCGAGAAATTTATTTTCATCTTAGAATAAATTTGAATACAATTAAGCAGCTGGAGATCCAGCGCCGATAAATGATTGTGAAGAGAAAGAAATTCATTGCATGTAATTACATGAATAATAAGGATATTGATCATCGATATTCGGCACCTTGTTTCAGTCGGGATTACAAATGTACTATCAAAATTAAAGAATATATATTACCTTCCGAGCGTTAATTGAGTATTTAAATCGTGTAAAATCGAAAATATATTTAGTAATTCTTATATTTTTTGCCCAACGATGCATTTGTATTGTAGTAACTATAAGAAGATAATCTTGATTGAGATCCACACTTGTAAGTGTCAAAGTCTGATGGAAAGAGCCCCACATATTTAATAAATTATATCGCCACATTTGTCCTTCAACATTCAAAAAATACCTCAATAAAGTAGTTTGTCCATATATAAAATGCTCTTGGAACAAGGCAGTTATATAATCAATTCCTTATTCATTTAATTTATTATTCGGTTAATAATAAAAAACATAAGTATTGCAATTAAAATTATGACTTTTAAGGTTGGTTATAAAATTATGTGGTTAATGTTAACAAAATTCGAGTTTTTTAGGAATTGTGCTTACTTTGAAAACTTACTTTGTATAAAATTACCAAGTTTAAATGTATATGTCTTGAAAATTGATTCTACCAACTTTGTTAAGCAATATTGAACATATTACAGTACAAAACTGTTGCAAAAATTAATGCAAGATAGAATAATACATCAAATATTTTCTAGATGTCACATTACACGGGGGATTTTTGAGTTTACTTGTTCACGAGCTAGGTAATTGTAAACAAAAATGTGTATAACATTTATATGTATAATAATATTTCGATATAACATTATCGACTGAATATGAATATTCAATGTGCTAGTAATGTTCTATAATTTGAATAAGGATCAAAATGAATTAAAACTGAGATGTAAAATGATGTAAATAATTACTCATTAGTCATATTATAACGAGACACATTTAGTGCTGCAAATATGAGATTAACACATCAATTTACCATGTATTTCTAAGCTGTATAAAATATCTGCTTCTATGATGTAAATTTGTTCGATCTGCGTGTAATAATTGCAAATTTGAGTAACTGGTTGTGCATATAATATTTATAATAAACTTATTATGTTTATCTCTTTATTTTTTAACCTTACATTTAAAATTATTTTTTTATTTTAGTGGCGTTTAATATTGCAATTTTGGTAGCTGTCTAGAAGACGGACTGTAAAGCCGAAATCTTATTTAAATTTTCTACCGACATAAAATAATTTGCTTTTTATGAGAAGAATTAGGTGGCAAAAAGTAAATCTAAATCGAGATATTTTAGAACAACTCGTTTTAGTCTTCCTAATGATTAGAAGAGTTTTAACTATAGTTATTTCGTTAATTTTTTGGTTATCACTTGGGTGTCTGTGATTAAAACAATACTTTTTTAAAAATTTAAATCTATTAAAACAATAATAGAAATAGAAATTTTCTATTTCCTATAATTCTTTGAAATTTAGTTGTTAAATTTATCAATATCTGAATTATTACGGCATAAACCGTACCCAAATTAAATCAAAATAAATACGAGATTCTTTCCATAGTTCACTTTGACGAGTTCATTATTGTTCTAAATTCGAATTAAAACAAATACTTTATTTAAATAAATTTATGTAGAAAAAACTCCCGTCAATTGATGCGAATCACACTTGTTGAGTTATTTTTTGTGGTTTCTTGTTTGTAATGGAAAATAACTGGGGAAGCCAAATATTTATTGATTATTATATCATTAGTTTCAAAAGATTCTACCGCATCATTATTTTTAAAAGATGCTACTGACGTACTAATGTTGTTCTTGGCTGAAACTTTCGAGTACTGTTAAAAAAGTAACGCAGGAAACATTGTTCACCGCGAAACTTATACACGTTTTGTGTTCGACTAACACAGTTGCCGGTGGTCACCTTAATTTGCTAAGGTCATTTACGTAAAAAACTCAGTCATTAGTAGAGTAGTTAGTACGCATGGCTTTTATGAAGGCTGTTGAGCTGCGGTCACTTAAAAGCTACCTTCACTATTCACTAATTAGACCTAATTGATGGAAGTGAACGCATACATGCTAAAATAATACTAAAAAAACACTAAAATGTTCTGCTTTCCACAACATATTTCGTCTTCTGCAACCCAGTGCGCTGGTGTCATCAACGTGGATAGTGGCAATCACTATTGACAATATCTACAATGTGGATAGTGAAAAGCGCTGTTGACAATATTCATAATGTGGATGGTGACCAAATCCGCAAAGTGGATGGTGAAAATCGCTAATGACAATATCCACAAGGTGGATATTTTTACCGTGTAATGTCACGTTGCGGATAGCAAGAAAATTTAAAACACTGATTGTGTACTATATATTTACACATAAATGATTTATAAAGCTCTATTAAGCCATAAGTAGATGATATCGATTCAATTGTAGACCCT